GGACGTCGGACGTATTCTTTTTAGCAGTTATTATATTTCCATTTAAATAACCTTTGGCTTTAATTCTACACTTTTCTAGTCCTTTTTGTATCAGTTGGTGTCTTTTAATTTAGATTGATTAAATAATATTGGTATTTAACACAAGGTGTTCTCAGTGTAGCTTGGGTCTTAGCCTTTGTCGCAGAGATGAGAGACAAGGAATTATACTATTTGTGATAGATATGTTTAAGTTATAATATACAAATGAAAGAAACTATTCGCAATTATCAAAAAAAAAAAAAAAAAAATAAATAAATAAATAAAAAAAATAACAAAAATATTTTACAATATTATTTTGCATTCCAGAAGGAAATACATGGAAATTTTCTTAGTACAATAGAATACACCATTAAATACATTATTTTTTGAGATTCAAAAAAACAACATTCATAACTACAATATTGGACGTCTACGTTAAATTTGAAGAACATTCGCCATTGAAACGTGGAATGTAGTCTCTCGGACACATTTTCAAGAAATCTAATTACAGTTACACATTTACCCCTTTTTATGTACATCGTATACATTGGCGACATTTCCCCTTAACGAGCACTAGAACTGATATCCGCCAATACATGGAGAGACGTCGTTATGTACATACATACACATACACACGTACGCATTTATTAAATAAAGCCGGGGTACACGCGACAGTTGCTAAAGTAAATACGCATTTCCATGAGGGAATAAACAACGAAAGGGTTTAAAATGTAGCTGCATGGTTGGTTATTCGTTCTATTACAACTACCACGTCGCATAAAATGCGTGCCCATACCCTGCGGTGGAAACGGCATTGCCGGGTTGCCAGATTGCTTGCGCCAAATGCAGAATAACAACTGTTGGCTGGGAGGGAATTAAGTTTTATGTTACAACTTGCAAAGCCCCAGCAGGGTATAAAATTATACAGCAGCGAAAAGGATTTTCGCATTAAAAAACATTCGAGTCATTTAAACAGCCTTCTTTTCCCTTGGCGGGGATGCCAATTGTGAGTTTTTTTTTTGCTTTTTAATTTACATATTTCTTCATGGTTAAATGTTTCACGATTTTATTCATGTAATTTCCATTTTTATGTCATTACATGGTTTCCATGCGCCTGACGCCGTCCTTTTTGCGTTGCTATGTTCTTCCCGTGTAGTTGCGTTATGTCCTATTGATACCACATCGACGAAGAGACACATACACACACATTGTAATTTTGTCATAGATTATTTTTCATATGCAAATGATTTCCATCTATGCCGCGAATGATGTGATGGTTCATCATTGTTTTCATTTGAGTGGAGATTCCGACAATTTCGAATGACTATAATATACAACAAATTGATGATTTATCACGTATCGATTTCTTCATTGTCGAATTTATAGTACAGCCCATGTCGCTGTTGTTGTTTTTTGTAATTTTACAACCTAACAAGCCACAGTGCTTTGATGTTTTTCGGATCCTGAATGTTTGCTACAAAGAACAAAGCGAAAAGGAAACTCTGAGCTAAACGTCCCGTGTTTCTATATGGCGAAATATGGGTTGAATATTAACTCTATCCTATTATGTTTTGTGAAATGTTCGTATAAGAAATTCTCTTTCCTTTTATTTTTGCAGATACGAACCTCTGGAGACACGATTGAAACAAACTTCTTGTGGACTATTAACGCATCCTCTTCCTGACTCATTCGTCGCTATCATCCCCACCATCAGATGTTCATGTTGGAAATGTAATAAATCTTCTTATGGAGTGGTTAAGCTATCAAAAGATGGAATAAATCGAGACTTACATCATCTTCTTGGTAAGTGTTTTCCATATTTGTTTCAATATTTACTCTATAGTATATATTTGCCTCCCTCTGGAGCAAGGCAATCAGCGCTGAAATAATTCTTAATTTTCCATTGCAATAGTTCTATTCTCGATGGTAAATCATTTAATGGCATACTCTTGTAAAACGGAACCGGAAGTATGCCAAAACAAAATGAAAAATAATAAATATATTTACTTCTGCTCTTCTTTTGACATTTCAATTCGAAGATATATAACAGATACTTCATTGAAATTTATGACGTACTTGTAGTATTTTTTTAGAGTAAACAAATATGGCTTCCGACCAAAGACTTTCGAAACATAACAAAAATAAAATAATTTCCCTGCGCATCCTTTCGCTAGCGGCGGTGGTGGGTGGTATTGTAGAGACATCGAACACAAATACCAAATACAATCGGTCGGGGTGGATGTTGCCACCAGCATACATTCTTGTTATTGTTATCACTTTATTATATACCGAAATAACGCCATATACATTTCAGCATAGAATATTGCAACGGTATATTGGTGTTTGGTTCATTTGTACGACTCCTGATATAGGGCATAGGAATAAATCCCACTACACCAAGTATGGTCATTGAGAAAACACATTTGTATCTTTTGCTCTTTATGACATTGATTCTTTGGGCCACATATCGACACTTGTCAAATCATTATCATATTTCCACGTATTTGGATCGATTTTCTCCCCTTGGATATTCAATATTTGTGACATTCCCAGACACCATCAAACTCACAAAATCTAATCAAACAAATTGCCTAGCGGTCAACCGTGCAGGATGTAGATGACCCTTATACAATTACATTTACACAGATTATCTGCCTCTCAAGGGTGCCACAAAGGCCAGTCCGTGGCAACAAGCAAATCAAATTAACTTGGAGTGGCAAACACGGAAATGGTCATTTATTTTCGAGTAAGTGGAAATGTATATACAAACATGCCCTCGAGGACCAACACAAAAGACTAGCTGTCACGTAACGGCAAACATGAAAAAACCGCCCATTTGCTTGACCAACTGACCACTCACAACGTATCATTGCAAATCGCATCATTGACTATTAAGGGATTTTGATGGAATTTGTCAACCCGAAGAGATATCTGTTGCTTTCTGTGGCGATGGTCACCCCTGTTCGAAGCACTAGAGAAGGTCGTTGCTGTCTAGCATTACATATTGCGGCGGGGAGTTAACGTATCGCTAGTGGCCTGTGGTCATTGCCGACCCTCACCCCTATTGTCCGTTGAGTTGGATGCAACAGGCGTTGGTTTACACACCTCACTTCAAGGGTGTTTGAAGTGGCGGTCATCGAAGTCATTTAGTGGTCAATTCATTCATGTTTACGCAAAACAAGTCTGTTCACGCATTGTTATCGTCTGTTTGGCCACTTGGGATGAACCGGTTTGCATTTATGCAAATGATGACCAATGGGCAGATAAATAGTCTTTCGGGCAACATAATGACTTAATGACGTTGTCATAACAATTAGCAGCTATGAAAGGGTGTTAAAAGGCGCGGATAATTGGATATATTAATGAGTATTTACATGTTCCCCTTTATTGTCAATAATCCTCTTTGCGGCGACTTTTTCTTCTTCTTCAACTCCGGTATTGCACTTGATTTTTCGACAAGGGCTATCAACTAAACACCTTCAGAAAAAAACTCTGGAATTGGCCCACACCCAATAATTGTGCATCGTTTGATCATTCTGTGTGTATGTGCTTATTGCTGTTATCCTTGTGGTTGTTGTTCCTTTTGTACTGCATGCTGCATGATATGATTTGTTCATTCTATAATTCCCTAGCATGAAATGCAGTGTAAAATGTATATGCAGTCATGGGTTTGCCATATACATATGTACGTACATAAATGCGAGAATGTATGCTTCCCAGGAGGACGGCCGTATCGTTCGTTCCCAGCAATTTATTTCCATTGAAATGCATTTGAAAAGGTTATGTCTTGTGCTTTATGTCATCACTGTTTTTGGAGTAGGAAGAGATTCACAGTGCAAATGAAATGCAGAATTGGAGAGTCAAGCGGAACCTTTAACTCCCACAAGCATGCATTTCCTATAGCACTGGCAGAGCTTTTCCCAGTTTGCACTGCAACCAGAGGCTTTCTTCCATTCTGCCACACTGTTGGTATTGTTCTTGCCACCCAGGGTGAATGCAGGATAACACTGAAGTCATATGCAATGATTCGCATATTGCTCTAGTGATGAGGATGCCATGGCATAAATGGTTGCCCACACACACACTCTCACACAAGTGTTAAAGTGGCTCACTCGTTTAGCATTCATTAATGGTTGGCTGTCTGGTGTAACGGCTCATTCAGAAGCAGCTGCGGATGATATTCGTTCTGCATACAGGTGTCTTCTTCCGCTTTTTGAGCTGGCAATAGAATTTGCATGCACATTTTCACACGTTATTGCCTCTACGAAGGATATTCATATGGAAGTGTCTGACAAAGAACACCACTTCTAACAAGGATAATAGACATAATAGAGGCAACAAGTGGCGCTAGCACCTACTTTGTTTCTAATATTCTTTGAAGAAGAAGTACAGCCTAACTACGATAAACATACTAGGATGCATACAATGAACAGACAAATGTGAACAAGCGATGATAATCACCTTTATGATATATATATATATATATACATATATATATACATATATATATATACATATATATATATATATACATAGGATTCATACAATGAACAGACAAATGTGAACAAGCGATGATAATCACCTTTATGAGTTGTAGATATATACATAGATATATATGTAGATATATACATATATATATATATATATATATATAAGGTGTGTTCGGTTGTGTGTTCTAGTGTTGGTTCGGTTTAGAATGTCTTCGACAACATTATGCCTTAACCTGGATATTGTCTCAAATCACGTTGTCTTCAACATTACTCATACATATCAATATTATCACCGCTGCGCATTATACCTGGTGTGCCCCCCAAAATCGTCATTATCAGGATTCTTTAAGTAAAGCATATATGGCCTTGATTATTCTGTAATGATACTAACAGTTTTAATGGAATCTTATTAACCAATATACAACAATAAATAATATAAACACATTAAATTAGTTATAACAATAAATATAGTGTTGGCTACAGTTATTCTGTTCAGTTATGGTGGATACCTAAAGGCGACCACTTTTCTGAAGGGTTCTTTGCGAAATGCCTCTTCTTCCTCACGACATTTTCGTCATAGTCTTCAATTTCATCGTTGTCATCATCAATATCAACATCTCCGGGACGCACGGGATAGCCCTCCTCTGGTTTAACAATTTTAATCCCTTTATCTCCAAATAGCAGGCAGTCAAAATTCCTAATCAAAGAGAAACGATTATCAACAATATACGACCGGGAACCTGAATTAGTTTCTACCTCACCTTTCAAACAATTCATAACCTTGGAATGAAGCCGACATGAACATGCATACGTGCATATTACGGCCCAGAAACCAAATATCGTGAAATTGTACGCAGGCCTGGGCAAAGCCGAATCTTGGTGGACGAAAGCACATGGGCGGCGGATTTTGTCCGGATACTTTTCGCTTAAACCAGACATTGTTGTTGACTTTCATACGCAACTCGAATGAGAACTCTTCAGGGCGATACACGATTTCAGTACAAGAATTCATTCCAATCACAGCCAAGAAACCTGCAAGCACATCCACATCGAAGGATTTTAACCACAGCATTGATTTTTCCAGTTTCAAATTTACCTGCGCAACATTTGCAAACCCCTTTGTCGCATGAACACGGAATGCTGCTCAACAAATTGCCAACCGTAACATTGGGTAACGATATCTGCCGGGATTCCTCTTCGAGCCTGAGAAGATTGAGACGATGATTGAGTATTCCAAGTTGTTTGGCTGCTTCATAGGCCAAATCTTCACCAGGTCCATCCGGTGTGTTGTATGCTAAAGGTTCATTATTTTTAGAATATAAAAGTTGACGTTTTCATATGATGTAAGAGGCTTAACTACAATCCGTTCAGCCCAGAATATATACAGCAACAACTTTTTTGTATTTCCTTTGTATTTACATTCGTAATAGCGATGCCACTTAAAAACTCAAATTCATCAGCATTTAACGCCAAAATAACAAATATTTTTGGTTAAAAACATATTTGGACCATCGGATCAGTATATAAACAAACAAAACCAATCCATATAAATCAGACTCCAGACACTGTTGTAAATAATAAAATATTCATGTTGTTTAAAAAAACACTAATAACAAGTTGTCAGAAGCACTGACGGCATGACAGTTGCCAGACAAACATATTTATTGTTATACAATATCAGGTACTTGTTTTCCGAAAATTATCTGCCAGTAATTATAAGAGGTAAAATGGGGAAAAGTATATAATTTGTATCTCATAAGTCGAAGGAGAGAGAGGGAGAGCAATGGTAAAAAATAATTAAGATAAAATTAAAATTAGTTAGATGAGATTCGGAATGTAACAAAAAAATTCTAAAAGTATCTGACATTGGATGTCCGTTTATGTCGGTTAAAGGTTCGCAATTCGTCCACTGTAAATGTTTTATTTGTGTTAGTTAGAAACAAAACAAATTACATACATGAATAAAAAAATAACAAAAGAATAATTAAAATTGGAAACCATAAACCAAAAAACAACAAAAAATGAACACAAACGCGCACATAGTCATACATACAAATATACATTTCAACACACACTCACATACTAATGTTACCAAGCCAACCTTACATAAAGGTCAATAACATGTCTTAAGTATAGATGGGAAACGAGAAAATTAAATAAAAACATAATGAATGAAAATGAATAAGAATAAGAACAGAATAGAATAGAGAAGAAAAAAGAATAAAAAACAAAAAAAAATGTCTACATTAGGTCTGCTTTTATGGCGACCTTCAAATTAATTTTTGTTCGTTTGCGGGTCGGTCGGTCGACTTCAGATTATTATGACGCTGGCATAAATAGTAGGACTGGCCGTAGTGGCCAGAAAACTTGCTCTCAACAAGACCTTGCTAGACTCTGTCATGCAAATATGTGCCTAGAATATACATATATGAAAATCATATATGGAAGTTGTGTTCGACATGCGTCACGACGTAATATTGATCTGTACTAAATGGACAAAACAGAAAAGATAAAACCAAGTCTTGGGAGAACATTACTGGTATAGAACGCTAGAACTTGTTTCAAAATTAATGAATGTTTCTCGACGTTTAAATCTATTCAACGAACGAAATCAAATGAAAGTCCATTGTGTTTGAAATAGCAAACCCATTTATTGACATATAAAAATAAAGCTTATTATTGAATAATATTTGTAATTTATAAATCAAACATATTATTGAATAAGCGAAAATTAAGAGAAACAGATACTTTTTATTCTATTCATATATTTCTTATGTACAAATATATAGTATAAAGCTATGGAACCATCACAAAACAATAAATTCAAGATATTGTCTTTCATGTTCGATGGCGCACACCGATCCGAGTATTGTGAGCGGAAATTGAAGTGATTTTTTAATAGGTTTATGTAGAATAAGTTAATATTTTATTTTCAAAAAAGAAAGAGAAAAAACTGATACTGCTCTGCGTAGAACATTGTCGCCATTAATCCATGACTATGGACAAATAAATTATAAAGAATGTTAGGAAATTTATATGTTATATGCATTTAGACGCCTATAAAAGTGAAGCATATAAAATGCATTGTTGTTGTGAAATGTATTTTACGGAGTTTTTGCAACCTTATCAAAATCTGAACCCGAATTGAACTACATTTTATGATAATATTGTTGCTTGGATGAGATATAGCTTTGGGCGTGTAAATCCATATAGAATTTGATTTGAAAAGGCCATCAAAGTTAGAACACATATAACTTTTATAATCCCATATTGTTTATAGCGATCAATTTCGTCGGTGACCGTCATTATAAGCGATTTCGTCTGTATATATTCCATAAAATCTTCCGGATATGACCACCAGCCATATATTACACACTGTGGTCGTCACTTATATCCTCGAATACAAAACCCACCGACTCGGAATATTGTGCACCATCAATCTGCTATCAAACTAAGACTACTAAGTATAATTAAAATAGTATTTACATATCTATCAAAAAATTTGGTTAGTCTTCTTAAGAACTACTCTTTTATCGATTAAAGGTTAATTAGACATCTAGATAACACAGCTCGGAAGTTGACACATGTATATATGTATTCAATATCATATTATTGTCTATAAACACACTTAAGTATATGGTGATCGTGAATTCGCTATACGCTATGCACCTAGCTCAAACACATATGTACAATTCTTTGGTATATGGGGAAGGCGTAGGGATTGACAAAATTCAAAATCAAATAATAGAAATAGGACATAAAGTAGGAATTTTTGCTACTACCGGTCTCTGAGCGGGCCACAGCCAGCAAGGAGGCTACACATAACAAGTAGAAAACTAGGCGGGGATGGCTGTTTGACGGCATATTGACCGTTGGCTGTTTCTGGCGTCCTAAGGAACTTTCGTAAGTGTATCCGCTTGCTCTCCTCCCCTTCTTGAATATTCTGGGCAACTTTCTGTTTCTCTTTGTGTTTTGCTGGAAACTTTCGCTTTTATTTTCGTTTCGTATTTTATTATTTGTTAATCGTTTAGAGCGCGTGCGTTTGTTTTGGTATTTGAGAAAAAACCGCAACTTTTGATTTCAATTTCACGTTTTTAACCCTGTTTTGTTCGTACACTAGGTGTTTTGTCTTCTCTCCACTTATATTCAAACCGATCGTGTTAATGGCTGTTGGCCAACTAAACGCTGACCACTGATCACTCGTCAGCCAGTGGCAGTCGTATGGTGAATCTCACACTGCGATTTGAAAACATAATCAAACTCGTACGCGTTTGCTGCCCCTCTTTATCGTTTACCGCTCTCTTTGGAGCGAGTATTTGCTCCACTCAGCGGATAGACTGGTGTTCAGTCTTCAGTACGACATTCATTTGCTTTTTGAGTCGCATGCGTAGCATGAGTAAAGTTTGACGACGTAGTTTTTTTTTTTTTTTTTTGATATTTTTCGTTTACCCAATTTCTGGGGATCGGTTGTGATAGCCCGGTGGCATCTCAAATTTATGGAAAACAACGTCTTGTCATTATGTGTAAGTGACCTTAATATTTTGGTCGTAGAGATCGGCGGTTTAATAATTTTGGTGGGAAATTCTCTTTAGCTGATAATAGTGAATGAAACCGAAGTATGTATATTGGGAAATTGGTCCGATTTACGCGTTCATTTTGAGAAGTTTTTAAGATTCTTCACCATCCACATTATTCCACCCTCGTTGGAATTACAACGGAAAGTCAGTCACCTAAATGTTTGTTTGTTATTTTGTTTACCAGTAAGTCGAGAGTAAATAATTAAAAAAATACTGGTTTCTCTTCGATAGAAAAAATCGGGGTTTTATTTTGTTGTCAGCCGGTGACGATATTTTAGTTGTTGCTGTTGTTGTTTTAAAATAATTTAATGGCTTGTTGAATAGATGTGTGTCGCGTTTTGGGGTGATAAGACATTTTTTTGTTGTACGTCTGCGTTGATCTGCCACAATTTCTCCAGAAAGTTATTACAATTTCGTTTTTTTTTGTTTTCGACTCTCACTTTTGCCACTTCATTTGTCCGTAGTTGTTGTTGGTAATTGTTTGTCGTTGTGATAGCAGTGATCTGTAAGACCTTTATGGAGGGGCATGAGCGTTCATCAACCCATCCGCTGTTGGTTACTTGTTAATTGAATTGTAGTATTTATTGTGCAAACGCTAAAACACAACATACACACATATTGGGTAGCGTGGAGTTGATTTTCTCTTACATATCGACATTCCATTGCGCTACTTGGATCGGAGTTATAAACTGGCTTAATTGTATGTGTGCAACAGTTCCTAATTACTGTTTTTATATTTAAATTAAGCAGTTTTCATTAAGACGTAGGGAAATTCTCTACTGTTTGTAAGAAGAGTCGATTTGTAATGATAACATCACGTATGTTCATAATTTATCTAAACTAATGACCAGTCGGATAAAGTCTTCATTTGAATACGCAATGTGTTTAAGCGTTGAACTGCAGGTGCTGATAGTTATTCTAATAAAATGTTAAAAGCATAAATCTGTTGAATTAAACAATTTCAAACGAAATTGATTCGCACCGTCAAAGAATTTTAGGAAAGTGTTTTAGGGTCATTAACAATTTTTTGCCAGTCTTTGATCTAAACGATTCTAATGCCAACTAATATCACCTTCAGATACGTAGCTCTTCACCATGAAAATGCGGAAGTAATTTGAGGTTAGTTTTGTTTAGCATAACAAAACCTTTTCGGCGAGAGTGTGAAATAGATAGAGAGGGAGAGAGCATTTTTAAAAGCGGAAGAGAAGTAGACAAAGTTTTCGTCGAAAACACGTTTTCTGCTCTTCTCTACGCCCCCTCCATGCTCTTTTGAGCTTTGTCTACATTTTACCATTGTTTGTTTGGTTTAATTTTGCTAAGACCTTTCGGTCAAACCTTTCTTATTGATGTTCAAATATATTGGTAATCGTAAACTGTCTGAAATCAAAGAAAAAATACGCGCTCAAATGCAAATCCAAGTTTAATTGAATTGGTTTGCGCTGCAAATCTTATATACGCATTTGACGAATGCAACCACTTCCGAGGTATATAGCGTCGAATAAGAAGCAATGTCTTCTATAATGCTATCCCTTAAAGTCTTGTGTCTTCTTTGAGTAATTTTTTTTTTATATTTTTTGAAGGTGGTTGACCTTTCCCACATAAATTACGACTTGTTATCAAACGCGTTATTGATTTTCACGCTCGTTTTAGCATTAAACAAATATGGGTTTACACTCTCGTTTTGGTTTTTGAAAAACGTGATTTAAACATAGAAAACGTGTCGTCATACGGAAGACATCATTATTTCAAATCTTGAAATATATGAATGGGAATGCATCAGCATATGAATAATATTAAATAATAATCAAATGCCAGCCAGTCTATTATTCGTCTCTGCGGTACACACATTCAAAGTGAACACAAAAATATAAATATATTGTTGTGTTAATATGCTTAACCAGATTTTGTTATTCCATAAATTTGGTGACATAAGTTGGGTTTTCCCGACTATAGTCCTTTCTATACTATTTAGTATTTGTTCTTTATTACACAGCTAAACCTTTCGATAGGCATAAACATATTAAAAAAAGATTCGAAAATTTCGCGACATTGGCCTATTTTTAAGAGTCTGTTTTGAAAGCTTTAACTACATCGACGTGGACCTGCTCATATACATGTTTTTTTCTTTTTCCGCATACAGATTCTAATTTACAGCAATTATCCAATTTTCATATAAACATACAAAATGGTCCAATACACCCACACTCACTTGCATTGTCTCAACCAATAGTCAAAACAAACAAAGGAATGGAATTAATGATTGATGGCAAACACGAGCAATTCTTCCTCACATATTATTAGTTTTGCAAGGAATCTCTAAAACCAACCCAAATACTTGTGCTCTCCATAGTTTTCCGCGAAAAACATGTTGAATTTACCCCCAAAAAATAAACAAACAACACCAAGGGGCGATAAGGGAGACCATCATGATTTCCACCAAAATTGATTTCACATGATTTACCGATCAATTGATTTTCATAGTCTGGTGATCTTCTTAGTCCACGGTTAGTTGGCTAGTAATCCAGTACATTGTGCTTGGGATTAGAGTCTGCACTGTCCGCCTGCGATGACTAGTTGGCTAGATCAATTCATGTTGTACATAATATCTGGTGTCATGATGGTCAATTGGGAATCAATGATGACCGTTACTTAGGACAACAGCACAAAGTAAACATTTGCCATGGCGTTTCAAAAACATGCATGAACTCTGAAATATCCGAAACTGCTCCGAACTACTTCTCTGCTCCATCAAATGCTACTGAAGTTAATACCAAAGAGCGTGCATAGAGACGATGGTGTTCTTGGCGCTCCAGTTATTCAATGGCAATGTGGAAATCACGTACCCGTTGTTAAGCTAATAAATTGGATGCCGAATGCAGATTGTGGCGAATGAAATTATTAAATGTGGTCTACCACTTGTTCATATAACAATGTTGGAAAATATCGTTTGCTTTAACAAAGACATTCGAGTGTGCGATGGGGCCTGAGTAGATCTAAGATGTGCTATGTACTTGATGTGACCCATAGCTGTTTTTTTTATTTTACAATACATAGACTGGCTTAATATCATATATGTATATGGTGCAACAGGCCCACATATCTTAATTATTGGCTTTATATTTTCATTGAATAGTTTTCATTAAGACCACCATTTTTTAAAGTTGTATATGTACTGCGTCATACTTTATTAGTATACCTTTTGACATACGTCATGTATATGGCACATATGTAGGTGTATATGTATCTTAATTCCATCGAATCGAATCATTAAATTGATCGAATTGTCTAATTTCATCAAGTCACGTAACATATGAAGATGCTTGGCTGCCACTATCGGAGGTGCGCTAACACAGGCTGTCGGCAACCGAAGACATTGGCACGTATGATATTCCCATGAAAAATCATTGTATGCCTCTGACAACTACTTGCTCTATCAAGGAGCAGCATTATTTCAGGCTGACACGATGCCTGGAAGTGTGGATGAACTACTGGCAGATATAATAAGCAGAGCACTCATCGAGTAGCTCACCCGTCCATCTTTCCATTCATTTGTTCGTTCTCCCATTGACTTACTATTAAATGGAAAGGTGCTACAAATGAATTTCACAAGTTGCATTTCAATCTAGACCTAGAACCGAACCAACCATCAAAGCAACAGGTCATACAGACGTGTGTACGATTTCTTAACAGAAGCATATCAAGTCGACAAATGTACATACATAATGGTGGCACGGTGGCACTGCTGCAGTCAATTCGGTTGCTGATCTCAACTCGTTTGGATGTAGTACAAAGTAGGCAGTACAGGCTAATAAAGGTCATGGAATGAGTTCAAAACAATTTTGCAATACGGCGTGAGATAAAATCTAAGCAAGTATTTACTTTCTATTAAAAAACAAAAATAAATAACAAAGCTAGTGGTAGCAAAAACGAGGAGGCCTAATCAGTTTTTATGAAAACTAAGCCCAAAAAGTAAACATCGACAATTTCGAAGTAGTGCATCATCATGTTTTCACATTAATGATGCTGACGATGTAAATGGTGCGCCAAGCTGGACTGGCTGATGCACATTGGGGATTGTGCATAGTTTGTGGCTTTATTGCTTCATTCACGGTGTCATTAAAGTTGTTACGCTTAGCTGTAGCATCGTTGTACACACGATGCTCTCTAAAGCTGTCGCTGCTTTCGACATCGCTCGGGGTAAGTAAATACTGGTCGGGGCACATCGACGTCTGTAATACTGTGTAGAAACACGTAAAACCTAATTTCTAACTGTCTGCCCATTGAAGCCTATTCTACA